CCACTTCTATCAATCGAAAGGAGACTGCGACCACACCAGAGGCCACAACATCTTGGTCTTCATATATAAGGGTTGGTTAACTTGTAGTCTAATTATGGTTCTATCACTTCGATTGGTTCATGAAAACTACATGCTTGCAGCACATGTAGGATAACGGATAATACATATTAGTTAGGTTAGGTTCCCCTACTTACAGTTAGGTAAGTGTATGTTCCACAACATTTGCTTTAGCCACCCATCTGCAATGATATATGATGAAGCATGGAGTAACCAACCAATAAACTATTCTGCTGTCTCATTAAAATATCAAAATTAGATTACGAAGAATATACAGGATCCCAGTCGACTTTCACTCTTGGTTACTTTTTCGTGAACTTTGTTAAGGAGTCGTTTTTATATCTGATCGCATTTTAACATGACATGGCAACTAATCAAAATCGCGGGGTTGTGCATCAACAACTTTATGCATAAATCGACATTGGTGACTACATGAAAGTTTCTCTTGGTTTCTAGTTAGGTCATTTTATAAATCCTTTCCATTGAGCCTTTCTTGCGAAATAAGACGAAGCATTCTGAGAATTCTTCGAAATCTGATTTTAAAAAATCCTATATGAGAAACCACTTGTTTGCTCACTTTATCCATTACTTAGCAGATGTAATTCACAAGATTTTGCTAATTGTATATGCTCTGCAAGATAGCAATCGTTGGACCATTAGCTTAGCCATGGTCTCTATCACAAACAATAGTCTAAAAATTTACGACTTTTGTCTAACGGTTACATACTTGCTTGCTAACTTAAGCTTGTCCTGCCTTTGCCTAATGTAAGGACGATTTACTTCTTATTTAGCTACTGATGGATTCTAATTCCTTGCCATCCTTTTTAACTCATTGTTTCAGCCGCTTTACTCTTGCACATTTTGTCCGGTGTTCTGCCTCACTCTTAATGATTTAGCGCTTCATTTATCTAGTGCCCACGAAGGGAGAACAGAAATTCCTCTCTCACTTGACAATTCTGAGCACTCTTCTAGTTCTCCGACAAAGGTTTCGCATATTCATGTGACGATTATGAAGCAATCGGCCGGCATTCAGCCCTCATTTTCACTCAAAAAATCTAATCCAAATATGAGTCCGATTTCTACTGAGTATCGCTCATTATTTGATGATCTCGCTTCTGTTGTCAACGCCCCTGCAGCAAATCGATGCAGTCCTCCCCAGAGTCCTGTAAGGGATTTTCGAAACTGCGTCTTAGCATCTGATGATGTCGATGATGATATCGTTTGCCCGGAATGTGATTTCTCAAGCAAGGATAGAGACGAAGTCATGCAACACATAACTGACACACACTGAACAAACATTCTAAAAATGCTTAAACTCTTATCTCCATGTGTATATAATCATCGTTTTGTACATCCATCTAAATGAATATATCTATTTTATTTTCGGAAGACACCTTTTGTAATTGTTTCCTAAAGCAATTG